TATACATCAATTGGAAAAGTAGTCGTCACAAATTTTGCTTACCGGGGATAGAAAGAGGTGAAGTAAAGGGGGATAGAGAGACGAAGTAAACAGCTGAAGAAGCAGGGCAGACCAGAACTAGTGATGGTAGATGGTATAAGTTGCTCTGAAGAAAGTGTCATAGCTACCCATAACATATGCATCACTCTATTCTATAAACCAGAAGCTTGGTGTGTTGGTCCGTCCGGAAGATGTGTTCAGGGTGAGATTAGAGAGAGGGATAGCAGAAACAGCTAGCCGAAACAGAAACCGGTCGATGCTACAGTATCAGTATCTGAGATGATGTTTTGATTATGGTAGCATCTTCCTCGCCTATAAAAGACACTCCTGCGGTAGGTTTGCAGTCACTAAACTACATGGTGCTTCCCAAAGCAGGACCCTGAGCAAGCGCTGCTGGTTTTCGCGTGAGTTATTCAGGACCTGATATCTGCTATCAAATTCGTCCACTGAGGACTACGCTGTGGTGCACACGAGAGTGTGCGTTAGCCAACACTGGTACAACAGAAAACACACATGTAACATATACAACTTATACATGACTGGTACCTATCCCTCCTCCAGAACAAACTTAGCATCACACCGCCCTTTGAGATCACGTAATTCTTCTTCTCATTGTGTTACTGGCTTGTTCGCTGCGGATGAAGGGGCGTGTCAGGAGGGATGGATGAGGCGCGGCGCCAACCCGTTCTTTAAAAGTTGCTGAAGGGGTTAAGCGGCAAAAGTTAGTGGGAAATGACTGATACTAACGACTTGATACAATCGTGTTGCTTGCTCTCTTCAACATCTGGTGGGTAACGGGTTTCCGCACCAAACCATCATCTCGTCCGAGCGTATTGTACATAGAACTTAAACACTTTCTTTTTTCATCTTTCGACTGGGACATGGAATTCCTGCTTTTACGATTGCAAAGTTATTTGCGAGAGATCTATTCATTTGGTGTCACTCGCGTTTCAAAACCGGCATTGATGACATACGCGTTTATCTGCGATCACGAATTAGCAACGAACTGTTTCGCCGATTTTCAAAAGACGCGACAGGGTTGGGATTAAAGAAGGGAACATAGGATCAGCATTGTGCTTTTTCTTTTTCGAGACGTCTAAAAAGGAGTGTTTCTCTCTTCTTTTTTTTGTGGTGCTATTCGGTAGATCCCGGTGGGATGGAAGGATGCTTGCTAGGAAAGAGTCCGATTCAAGGTTTGGCTACCGTACCGTGCGTCTACTGTATAAAGGCTGGTGCACTTGCGCTCTGTCTCGATATATGTAAGCTAAAATCTATGACCAATAAATAAAATGCAAAACAACATGCTAGAAATGTGCTCACAGACCACTTCCGTACATCTCATAGCTGAAATCTTCTGTTTACAGTCGTTCTGTAGATGGTGAGGGTGTAAGCGTCGAACGAAACAAAGTAATTCAAATTCATTCATAAGTAGCACGAATATTATCCACTAGGAGCGAGTGGATATAATTAAATAACCCGCTGTTCACTGGTAGGGGGGAAAAAACCCTGCCATATGGCGCAGATAGGGATGCTCAATCAAGTTTAATCCACAGATGTATATCAGGCAGAATCGAAATTGTCCCTACTAAAGGTTTCTATTATTCCAGATGTCGTTTTCGGGCTCGCTCGACCTTCTCTAATTGAACAGTGCCCGCTTCTAGTCAAGAACCATAGGCCATTTATTGCCTGAAATTGGAATTTCCAAGAGTGCCGTACAGCGATTGAAAGCTCGTTATCTTCACTGACGCAGCCTTCTTTGTTTCTTCAATCCCAACATAGAAGTTGTTATTAACTCTATTGTACGGCCGCATGAGCACTGTCGCCGGTCCTGTATCGCCTGAGTAGTACTGTAAACGTTCGATTAGATAGGATTAATCAAGTATGTTAGCAGCATGTTCCTGCTGAATTCTCTGACGTTACCCATTTCCATCTGCGACTTCTTGTATTCGAAGTTTCGACAAACTACGCCGTGGTATTGTATAGAGCACAGCTCGCTGAGGATGTCCTTAATAAGCAGATTATGTATTATTATTTATGCGCGTCATTCGCACCATAAACATATTGCTTCGAATGACAACAGCTGTGATATGTCAACTACTGAACTGCTCATGCAACAGGGTATGCTGTGAGCCAAGACAGTCTGCTCAGCTGCGTCTGGAGCGCCGATGTTAGCGCTTTGCCACTTAGAAGTCTGTTGGCGCGCCTGCCTGTCCAGGAAAATAGTTCAGAGGGTTTCCCCGCAGTTCCCTCATATCACACATTACGAGTGCGACAGGACTGTAGTCATTGCAGTGTGCTGTCTTTCATTTCGTTTTTAAAGGCACATTCCGCGATAAAATAAGGCTATGACCTCTCAAATGTGTCGGACGATCCGGAAGGCGATTTTTGAGGCTGCGCTACTTTCAAAATGTGAAAAACGGCAAGAACTCCGCTAGAAGCTGACTAATTAGGCCCATGGACACCCCTTAGGCCCATGCCGACCCTCACCGGCTGCTAGCTACTAGCTAGTAGCCACTATGTTATCTTTCTCTATAACATTTCGGACTGCTTTTTCTGCTGCTTTTCTCCGCTAATCAGATACTTAGCACTTTTTTGTGCCTATTTGAGTTCCGTTTCCCGCAATTTGCGGTCGCGAACTGTGCCTTTAAACTCGATAGCCAAGAATTATAAGTTCAGCGAAAAGGCGGGATGCAGTACTACACAAAGACGTGGTCGTTAAATTAAATGTGTTTGAGGGGGAGAGGGGGGGGGGTGGAGGCGGGCACAAATCTCTTTGATGAAACCAGGAAGCAAGAGCAGTACTGACTCCATTTTCCACCTGCAAGCAAGGACTGCGCTGGCAGAAACTGAGTGAGTGGTGTTGTGCGCACTCGCTAGTCCCACGCGCTCAGTTTTAGGCAGCCAGCGGTACAGTACCCCGCCTGTTTTCCGAACTTACAAAATAACTCGATAGCCATAAACCCACGCGCACACGTCGAGGCCACGCCCACTAGCGTTTCCGCACAAGTCCTGCACGTTCTTCAGGCGACGTTCTATTAGTTACCTTTACAACTTACTATGGCAAATTGCCTCACGAGATAATAAAAAAAATGTTGCTCAACAAAAACACTCTGCGGTACTATCAAGCAATCACATAAGAATCACCTGATCATAAACTGATTTGTTTTCCAAGATACGCTTATTGATTTCGTTGAGTAAAACTATTGAAGTATTCGTCGGTTCCACCAACATTGGACTGAATGCCAAAGAGTCACCCTCAAATAAATAAATTGCGGATTTTCTCAAAACACCCAAAGAAGCGTGATGTTATAGTTCGCTTTTCGGAAAAAAATGTGTGAACATTTAAGGCGAGGCCTGTTCGGGAATAAAGTTCCTTCTTGGCTCCAGGCCAAATTTTTAGCACTCCACTGCAACAGGTAACCCAACAGGTTAAGATCATTGGTCAGTGCCGGGCAGCGGGATGCGCATCTGTGTATTGTAAGCGGTGGGTGGTGTACTCGACCGTACCCCTCAATGACTCATGCCTTTTCAGGGCGGAGCGACAGTCAGCTGGATCGAGGAGACGACCAGCCCAGCTTTACTTCACCGAGGTCCGCGGCCTCATCTCTCTCTTCCTAAGGGCGAAGCCCTCAACAACCAGATCTGCCTGCTTGATCTCCGTTCGTTCTTATGTACGTATCGTGTACACGTAGTTGTCTATCTTCAGATTACTCTTGCCTTCGTAAAGTGCCATGTACGTCGTTATGTGCGTAACATATTCGGTTCTTTCGTCTTTTCCCTATGTAATCCTATGCCAGATAAACTTTAGTACTTATCGGTGTCAAAGCAGGTAGTAGTGCAGCTTCCATTGCGCGGCGTTCGCTTACTGGTAGCAGCGAGTGGTTCACCCCTCGCTGATGTTGGGACTTAGGAAGAGTCTTCTCCTTTTGGTCTTCGAAACTTAGCTCGAAGCTTGGCCAGTATCGGAGTTCGAGTTAGTCATGTCATCCTCGAAGATCAAAAAGGCGAAGATGACTGCAGCACGTGTCTCCAAAGAAAGACTACAGTAATCCTCTTTTTGATCTGGGCACACAGCTGTCAATCCTGCAGCCTGCGAACGTCGTCCGCGTCTCCTTTCTTCCCTCTCTTCTTTTGATCATCGCCCAGATGCCGTTTCTTCTTTCTTCAAATCGTGAGTTTATAGAGTTGTCACTGTAGCCTTTCTTTTGTCCGGTAGGAAAGTAGAATGCCTGGTTAAGCGGGGGCTTAAAACCCGTTTTACAAAAAAAAGAATAATGAAAATGTTCCCCCCGAGGGGCACGGTTTGGTCAAAGACATAGACTTGTTGTGAGTAGCATAAGAGAAGTTGAAGATGATAGTGCCCATTTCAGGGAAATGGAGGAATAATAGTGCCCATTTCAGGGAAATGGAGGAACAAGTGGAGAAGTACCGTCGTGGCTGCGCAGCGAAAATCGACGAGGAGAAGAAGCGACAGGGTTCGCGTCGTCAAAAGTGACAAGTATTGCAGAGGAGCAGTGGAAAAGGTAAGAGGTTTACTGCACTAAGTTGAATTATTTAGAATACGGAGTATTGTGTGGGGGTTACTAATTAGTATCATAAGTTCGGTTTCATTGATTGCGAAAAAGCAAAACGTTTTGAAAGCGTTTATCATGTTCATGTTCTTTCATTAGTGTATTGGTTTGACTATTGATTGCTCTATTCTCTCATTCGGCCGGTTGGCCCATCTCACAGATCTGTTGTCGATAGTTCAAAACGCCTCATTCCTCAGTGTTAGGGGCCTTCAACGAAGCACAAGACCGTCCACACGCGGGCAGCGAACCGCCGAGAAGTAACGGGTCGCTGGCCAGGGGTCGGCCCCCTGAGCAAGTCTCATTATAATACCAATGAGGCAAAGCGTCTGTCTCCAGCTCGTCAAGCTGTTGCTCGCTAAAGGGCTCACTCCCCCTCAGTTGTGCGTGATATCCTTTTACAAGGAACAATCACTGCATTTGCAGCACAAGTTGGACGCACTCAGGGTCGAGCTTACGACGGTCGACTCAGTTCAGGGACGCGAAAAACAGGTAGTCATTCTTTTGACAACGCGCACTAATTTTGCCCCTGATTCAGCCGACTTCCTGGACGACTACCGCCGGATGAACGTAGCAATATCACGATGTCGCCATGGGCAATTCATCCTAGGCGAAGTCTCTTCGCTCACCGTCGTGCCGTTCTGGAAGAGAGTGGTAGATTGGGCCACCAGTATCAACGCCGTCGCTCTCCCGCCCATTCACTTGTGCAGCGATATTTTCCGCTGATTGAAATCCCCACCCCCCCTCCCCGCCTCGGTAAGCTCACCATTTCTTTTCTAAAAGTCCGGGACGGACTTTGGGTAAAGGGGGGAGGTGTAAGCGGTGTGAGGTGTAGTCGACCGTACCCCTCGATGACTCATGCCTTTTCAGGGCGGAGCGACAGTCAGCTGGATCGAGGAGACGACCAGCAGCTACGACCGAGGTCCGCGGCCTCATCTCTCTCTTCCTAAGGGCGAAGCCCTCAACAACCAGATCTGCCTGCTTGATCTCCGTTCGTTCTTATGTACGTATCGTGTACACGTAGTTGTCTATCTTCAGATTACTCTTGCCTTCGTAAAGTGCCATGTACGTCGTTATGTGCGTAACATATTCGGTTCTTTCGTCTTTTCCCTATGTAATTCCTATGCCAGATAAACTTTAGTACTTATCGGTGTCAAAGCAGGTAGTAGTGCAGCTTCCATTGCGCGGCGTTCGCTTACTGTATGTGCAAACCGTAACGCGGCGCATTGATAGGGCGTGGGTTTAGGCCGAGCGGAGGCTCCAGTCCGGATTTTGTGACATTTCGGATATATCCTCTTCAGGCATTTAGGTTTAGACTTTGCCGATTACGGCGTGTAGATCCGCTGATGGCCGCACTACAATAACAGGGTACATGACATCTTCGACTCTTGTGCGTGGTCCTGTGGCGAAACCATGTAAACGCAGACAGATGGACGACAGCGGCTGCCAAAGCATCGAAAAGGGCAGGAAACATGTCGCAAGCCAGGAAACGGATTTTTTCAGGGGGGGGGCGACAGTTATAACCTGTGAAAAATGCTGTGGCTGACTGCAAGGTCACAACAGCCATAGATGTCATGTCGGCGAACGAGACGAGTGCTGAAAAAAAAAAAAAAAACAGTAAGCATCGACGCGAGTTCAAAGGGGGAGTTCAAGTTGCCCATAGACATACCATCAACAGCGCCCCACTACAACAGATGGATATTGATCGGCAGCGGCCGCCAGTGTTAGGAGAGAATGACAAAACGGTGGGAGTTGTCTATTACACAGTCTGATAGATCCATGATAGGTCTACCATTCAGCGGGGTCATGTCTACCACTGGTATATTGCCACACCTTTCACTCCAAGATGGCGAAGAAGATGGCGAAGTAGAAGGGAAGGCTACAATGAGAAATGCACAATGGCCAGTCCCGTCCACATAATCACTGTGGTATGTGCCTTTGGAAGAGCTAAGCTCAGCTACTCAGAATTATTGGAATAAGCTATTCAAATTCCGCGTCTCCACACTTGACGGAACTAGCGCGAACGCAAGACTATTTTGTAAATTACGGAAAAAATAACCATAATATGTACAACTTACAACGTGAGTAAGCCCTTTGATTGAAGTTACAATATCGGCGTCATCAATCAGAGTCGCGTTAAGAAATAGGTCTATCGGGTCGTGAAACCATGTCGCATCCGCTTCAACCAACACAAAACGCACAGAGTTCTGGGAACATAGTACTATTCAAATGCCTCTCTACAATTCCAAGTGAAAAAGTTTGATGAAAATCAGGAGAACCCCGATCTGCATGTTCAAGCTCCTCGGCTAACAAACAAGCCATGCACTTTTTGGAAGGACACTGATTATAAAAACAGGCGATGGGGAGTGGGGGGGGGGAGCGCCAGTGATAACAATGAAGCCATTCCCTTTATTTGAATTGTATCGCCCCCAACTGGTTCTTTTATGACACAATTTTATTTGCGATTAAACGCCGAAACTCAGTGTTTCTCCAGCTAGCGAAAAAAAAAGCTATTTTTTTTTTTAAAAAAAAAAAAAAAAAATGGCTAATAAAGTATAGAAGCTCACCTCTGTTAGCGCTTTCATCAGCTGAAGCCTGATCAACAAAAATTCACTATACTTCCGCTCTCCCCAGTCCAAATCCTCTTCATAGCCGGGTAGATATGCGAAACATGCAATGCACTTTCTGAAAAAACTTATGCTTACTCAATAATTTCAACACAATCTTTATCATGCTTTTTAGTTAATCATGCATAGCCTTTCTTTTCATCACTATGTCACTGTCTTTCCCATGATTACTGTAAGCAGAATTCCTTTCTTCTTATCTGATCAAATTTGCCGATTTTCCCAGGAGAAACAACGCTTATGTATACATTCTTTCGTAGCACAACATACTTAGTTCGCATAAAAGAGTATCAACGCCGGCGTTCGATTCACTCGTCTGGTGCATTACAAGGATCACAGGGTGCATTTTTGCTTTTTAATTATTTTTTCTCTATCATTGCTTAGTAGACTCATTGGAATATATTCTCCTAATCTCCTCTTCTTTTCTAGAATTCCTATTGTATTTCGTATAATTCTAATTTTCTATTTTCATGTTTAATTACCCAAGCTTGAGGTTCAATAAGACTTCTACGACAGTCAACTGCGTGGCAGCAGCAGGCAAAATTACACCTCTCCAAGGGTAGTCTGACACCCTAAAGGGTAAGCGTGTTCATGTAAGCGACTGTAAGGTCTAAGTCGTGATGTTGTCATCGGGGAGAACTATCCCCGGAGAGGAAATCATAGCCAGATTCAGCAGTGGAGAGAACCTTCCACCAAGAGAGATTTTTTCAAATCGGCTTCAAAAAAGTGAGCAAGAAAATGAATTCGTCATTATAGCGAAGTTGAGGGACCTGTTCCCATCACGAGATATGGGCTTGAAGCTCTCCGAATAGTAGAAATTGCAGAAGCTAAAAAGTTATAACAAGCCAAAAAAATCGCAAAAAATTCTGTCAATTCCTTGGCATTCCTTGAACAGCAAAGTATTGTAGATACTGGTAAACTACGCCAGGAATAGTTAATAGTTGCATAGGGTCTTCTTTGGTGATCCCATCCGAATCACCAAAGAAGACCCCATGCAGACGCAGAAGTATATCACAGCTGTTTTCTGGCACCCAAGGCCAGCGACTGAAAGACAAGCTTGTGGAAAGAAGTTTATCGACATGAGTAAGCTGACCCATGCATG